ACCCATGATTCGGAACCGTATAAGAGAGTAGACAACACTATGGCCCTGCGCAAGGATGACACGCAAATTCATGAAGCGTTCCATATTTTTAAAACTCCATAAAAGAGTATGGCATAATAAACACTTGAAGAAATACCTACTAATGCTCTGTTAAATGCACAAAATAAAGATGGAGAGAATTGGAGTGGTTCAGCCTGGAGAAAAGAAGGCTTTGTGGTGACCTAATTGCGGCCTTGTAGTACCTGAAGAGAGCCTATAAGAAAGATAGAGAGAGACTATTTACAAGAGCATGTAGTGACAGGACAAGGGGCAATGGCTCCAAACTGAAAGAGGACAGGTTTAGATTAGATATTAGAAAGAAGTTCCTTACTCTGAGGGTGCTGAGGCACTGGAACTTGTTGCCCAGAGAAGTTGTGGATGCCCCATTCCTGAAAGTGTGCAAGGCCGGCCTGGAGGGGCTTGAGAAAAGCTGGTGTAGTGGAAGGTGTCCCTGCCCATGGTACAGGTTTGATTTAGATGATCTTTAACATCCCTTTTAACCCAACCCATTCTATGATTTTATGATGTAATATATTTAATTTTGTTTTCCAATAGTCTAGCAATTGTCAAACAATTAGTAATTAACAGATATTCCTTGGCAATACTAAGCTAATTTCTCAGCTCTGAAAGAACTTGGTGATTAATGAGGGCTGATAACCTGACTACTATTGTCACTAGGAACTTGGCAGCTATGAAAGTGCCATGGTCAAGATCTGCACAGCCAACATCCATCATCAGCAAATCACAATAACCTCTGGGCTCAGCAAGTCCTCGTGAGACATATTCCTCAAGGTAGTGTTCTCCTGCAACCTTCAAAGAGCACTGGTAACCCCAAATACCACATGCATACTCCTGGCATGTCAGAATGAGTTACCAACAGCATAATCACCTGTGCTCAGGGACCCTCAAGCAGCAGTCCAGAGCCCCATCAGGACCTGGAACCTCTATCAAGCCAATCTGGCAAGGAGGGAGCATTGTCAGGAGCATCCACAGGAGATTTAAATGGCTCTAGGGAGCACAGCAAACAGGGCATGGTGCATCAGAAGCGTGTAGTGCTGCAGTTGGTGAAGGCAAGGTGTGCACAGAGGGTGCTGAAATCTTCAAGTAGACCCACAGCTCAGGTAAGTGCTAAGTGCTCCAGGTCTCTGCCATAACAGTGGGCACTCGCCTCAGAGCAAAAACCAGTGTGTCTACTTATACAGCCTCTGAAAAAGCTGTTGCTTCCACCCAGATGGAACTGGTAAGGAAGGAGATTCAGTACCGGTGGTAGCTTGCAGTGGATATCCAGATACTTCCACTGGAGAAAAGGCTACCTGCACAAAGAGTGCACAGGTTGATGACCTGTTGTGGCAGGTGGATGGATTTCAAGAGCCAGTATCAGTATCAATATCAGTATCAGTATCACTATCAGAGGGGCTGAAACAGAGACAGATAACATGGCTTTAGAACCATACACCTATAATGGATACCGCTGAGCTTGAGGCGCCTTGGATCCTGATAACCCAGAAAAGCAGGGCTCCAATCCAATGTCCACTCTCCATCATCCAAGATCAAAACCAGATATGCTTCAAAGGCTTTAGATGAGCACAGGCAAGGCCAACAAGGAGAACCTGCACCAGTGGTGCACAGTGGTTACCATAAAAAGAAACTTTGAGTGATCTTCAAGATTTTGACTCTTGCATGTCCTTGAGTCTTTGGGATTGGCTTGTGATCTCTCTTCCCCAAGGCAAGCTCATGTGTAGGAGATGACAGCTGATGTGACAAATCACTTCTTGCTCCTTCTTCCTTATTTTGGGAGTAGGAGAGGCTCTCTCTGCACCAAGGCATGTAGAAATTGTAGAGCATCACAGCAAAATGAGTTTCTTTCTAGAGACATGTTTACATCTGTTCTAATTTCCACTCCAGTGTCTGCTCAAAGAATGCTCCCTTCCAAGCTCACTGAGATGATGATTAGCTCTCTCTTTTTGGTTATGTAGATCTGGTGTGCTCGATTTAAACCCAATGTTTAGTTCAGGCATCCAACTCATTCAATACAGTCCTATGAATCATAAATGAAACTCAGAGCTATTCCAATCTAAGATGACTCACTTTTTGGCCAGTTTTGGGATAATATAACGTGGCAGTTCCTTAAATAATTCACTTTCTTTACTAAAAAAAAGAAATAAAGAAAAAAGACAGAGGACGAAAGCACAGCTGGGGTAAACACAGGTAGTTTTAGTACTTGCTTCTTTAAAAAAAGTAT